ATTTACAACACATTATTAATGCTTTTTCCCCAAATTTGTTTTAAAGTTGTAATAAGAATGTCCACTGATAAAGGATATTAATTACATCACGAAAAGATAATAAAGCTTACTCATGTAACTAAACTGGGTGGGACAATACATGTCGTGCAGACTGCACACTAATTCCCTAATCACTGTGTTTAACCTAGGGCATAAACCTTCACGGGTCACTATATATGCTAGGACATCATTGGATTTGAATTAATTTTGATAATAAAGATCCATCAACCCTCTTCATAATTCAATATGGAGTATAAAGCGTTAAAGTTGAAAGAGAGAAAAAGATTAGAGCGAGAGTGTAACCTTTAGATGAGGACCAAGTTCTTGAAAATGTGACTCTCTTGTAAATAAGGAGTAACTCTATATGATCTAATATTCTGTCGTTGTGAAAGATGATTCACATCAAATTACTAATTTTAGTATCACTCAGTTAGCATAGCTTGATCAACGTCAATAAGTATATGTAATTTCATGACATGCAAATGCTCCTAAACCCCTTGGGGTGCAACAAAACATAGATAAATACTAAAAAGAACAAAAGATTATGACATTTGTTGAGGTTTATTCCTCTGACTCAAAGGTAGGGGTGGGTTCGGTTGCTTCGGTTCGGTTTTGACCTAAAACCAAACACAGAACCAAAGTGAAATGTTCGGTTCGGTTCGGTTTCTTTGATAAAAATATCCAACCACGGTTTGGTTGGTTGGGTTGGTTTCGGTTTGGTTTCGGTTTTTATTCGGTTTTTTTAAACCAAAAGTCCATGTATGAAAATAAGAGGAGGAACAATTGGCATGCAAATTTAGTAATTTAGTCTAATACGGAGTAATTGAAAACACATTAAAGCAGCAGACAAATTAACAGATAAAGTTTTCAAAATGAACCATATAAAAGCAAGCACATAGAAGCGAAGCAGTAACATTAACCAACATAGGCAAATCCTAATAGTCAGGTAATTTAATATGCCTTTTTTAGATGATTCTTTATTACCTGGTTTAGAGAATAAGACCATACAAAGAAACTTTTTAGAACAAATCCACATAGCAAAACCATTTACTCATAGAGAGTTTAGTGAATCTTATTGAACAACTATTTTTTTCTCAAATGCAGTTAACAGATGTAATACGTAGTATATAAAATAGTAATCATAGTAAACCTCAAAAAAATTATAGATAACAATAACATCATAATAATCTCAAATTGTAAAGGTGAAATGTTACCTCTGTTTGAAAGTCTTCGATTGGAATCAACTTGTAATAGATCCAAAGATGTCAACAATTGATAGAGGAGTGAAAGCTGATGAAGAGAAGTTTAGTTTCTCATGAGCTCATCTCTCCTGCCGTAGATTCGAGAAGAAAATCGGAAGAAGTTCAGAACTCCGCCGCAAGAGGTGAACTGCATCTGCGAGATACTCTAAGCCTCTAACTCCTCTATGGTGCAAAACTCAAGTCTACCTAGGGTAAAAGTTAGAAGACCGTAACTTGTTCAGCCACTAATTGAGCCCAATGTCGGACAAAAACCCAAGTGTATAAAATAAAATACTTAGTTTTTAATGTTTCGATTTTCGGTTTGGTTCGGTTCTGGAGAGCCAAAACCGAAACCGAAACCGAATAGAAACGGTTCGGTTCGGTTTTCCCTTTCGGTTTCGGTTCTTTCTTGATTCGGTTGTTTTTTGTCGTGGTTCGGTTATTTTTTTATTCGATTTCGGTTTTCGGTTTTCGGTATTCCGAACCCAACCCTACTTCAAGGAGCCAACACCTTTCCTTGAGTTTCGAAGGATATGTGAGTGAGTTAAATGCGTAAAATGGCACAAAGAGGAAGCGTTCCAACCAACTGATCGCCGACTCACTCTCCCTTAGGTGGTCTAGCCATAAGAGTTTGAATCATCTCTCCGTTAATAACATTGAACTAAACATTCCATCCACACAACACGAAGTCTATCAAGCTTCCCTCATTTAGACCGTATTCACATATGTCTCGTGCCTACTTCATTGGAACAACATTTGTAATCATATACTTCCTCCGCTCTTAAATAAATGCAACTGTCAATATTTCACACTTGCCGAGACACAACTTTGACCATTAATATAAATGATTTTGTATTAGTAAAAAAATTAAAAAAATTTAATTATGAAAATTTACAATGAGACAAGTTTAACATTATTATTTTCATAAAATAATGTTATTACATTAATAAATAAAACGTAGTCAAAGTAGAACATGTGAATAGTGTAAAAGTCAAAGTGTTGCATTTATTTAAGAACTGAGGTAGTATGTGTTGGATATGTTACGGATTGCAAAATGATTCAACCTTTTCGCATAAATGTCTTTTGCCTGTTAATTTAGCTTACTATGAACAATACTGACCTTTAGAAAGCCATGAATGACAACATTTTACTTGCATTTCATTACATTACCGGCTAAGAAGGGAAATTGATCGTTTTAAATAATTGGAGGTTTTAGATTGGTGATAGATATTTGAGGAGGAATGATCGTGTCATGCGCGCCTGACAGGATGCACCGTGCGGACTTGTCGGTTTGAGAGCCTTTTCGGTCTAACATTTTTATGAAATGTTTTGAACTTGTTCCTCATCAAGTGTAGTTTATGCAGACCAAATTTCATCTCAAAATTCGATCGGGAAGGAAGTCAAATAAATTCTTGAACCATATGGTGCTTTATGCGCATATATAATGCGCAATATGTTTCAAGAATTTATTTGACTGTCTTCCCGATCGAATTCTGAGCTGAAATTTGGTATGCATAAACTAGACTTGATGAGGAACTTTATCAAAAAAATTCATGAATAAATTCCACCGGAAAATCCCCCAAACGGGCACGTCCGCACGCCACCTTTGGTCAAGCGCGCCTCACCAAATCAGTTGTAGATATTTAGGTACAAGGGCCTAATTATCATTTTCGCTTTAGTTTTTTTGTTTTATCAAAGGAATATGACTATAGCGGGACAAAAAATTTGTAGCTTTGTATCATATTGAAATAAGATTTGCAAGAAAGAAATTAGTCAATGACTAAAAAGTGTAAACCACAAATAAAAAATGTATTGAAAAAATGCGATTATACTATAAGAAATGTCTAGGCACACACATTATTACATGTTGTAGACAATAAATGTCCATATACAAACATTGATTTACATGCCACTCACATTGTTTTACATGCATAACACATTATTACATGTCGTAGATAATAAATGTCCATATGCAAACATTATATTGATTTACATGCAACTCACATTGTTTTACATGCAACACAAATTATATAGACAATAAATGTCATATACAAACATCGATTTACATGCGTTTTTTATTTCTTACATGTCGTGAATAGTATAAATGTGTATCAGGGGCGGATCTACTCACACAGGAGAGGGGGCAGCTGCCCCCAATAAGATCCCACGAACCCCTTGTAAATTTTTAATAAAAATTAAAAGCCTAAGTAATTGCCCCCAACAAAAAATGAATTGCCCCCAATAAAAAAATGAATTGCCCCCAATAAAAATTTGGAATGTTGGGGTATTTGTTGGTTTGTTGCCTTTGATAGTTTAGTACTATCTATTTAGTATAGTTGTTTAATCCTCCTTATATATTCATGAAGAAATTCCACTTATGGTCCTTCGAGTTTTGCACCAATTCCACAATTCGTCCTCGTCTTTTATTTTATCCATTGTTGGTACCTGACTATTGTTTTCTTGACCATATATGGTCCTTTTCCGATAGTAAAAATGCTCAGAAATGGACCACAAATGGTCAAGAAAACAATAGTCAGGTACCAAAAATGGATAAAGTGAAAGATGAGGACTAAATATGGAAATGACACAAAATTTTGAGGACTTAAAGTGGAATTAATTCTATATTCATTGTATTGTTTACTTTCCATATTTGTTAATTCTATTGTATTAATTGAATCATTATATTGTATAGTATAATCTCTAGTTTTATATAAATATTAAATGGTATTACTAAATTAATATTAATGTTATAAATTTATTATAAAGTTATTCATTTACATGAATTAGATTTAATATTTTAGAAAGATCAGTTAGATTTAATTTAATTGATTTGTTTCAGAAATAGTTATACACCTATTAATGTAATGTTTTACAGTATTAGAAATTACAAATTAGAAAATCGTATTTAATACGTTAGAAACGCTAAATATAAATAATATGTTACTTTAGGTAGTTAAATAAAATGTATTAATGTATTAAAAAAATTAATTGTGATGTATTTTGTTAAAACTTTTATTGAAGGAGATGTTTGAAATTAGAGGTGGGCACGGTCCGAAACGGTTCGAGAAATTAGTAAAACCCGTTATGTTTCTGTGAGGTTTCTAACGGTCCGGTACGGTCGAGTTCTAAGGATGGAACCATTCGGTACCATATCGTTTCAGAACTGTAAAAAATGGTACGGTACATACTTGGGTTATAAAATTATTGATCTATAAATTACATTTACTGGTATGAAAAAATATAAAAAATTAAATGCATTATTTTTGAACGGCCTGGTCTGGTATTTTTCGATTCTAAAAATTTAGAATTAGTCATGTACCTGTTCTAAATGGTACAGTTTCGATTCGGCATAAAAATCTATAGAACCATTTAAATACCCGGTATTCAGTTCGGTACCATTATGGGCCGGTTCGGTACCAATTTGGTTTGGGTTTTATGTCAACCTCTATTTGAAACTGTTACAAATGAAACTGTAATGGATCTCTTCCAAAAGATAAAAACTAGGCGCGAACAAGTATGATATATTTTGTTTAAACTTCTATTATTATATTATTACATTAATAATTTATTAATTTTTGATGCATTTTTTATTTATGGCGCCCCAATAAGTTTGTATCTTAGATTCGCCACTCATGTCATCATGTGTATACAAAAGTGTCTATATACATTGGAGTATTGGACGCCGCCTATCACTGTATCATTGGAACATAATATGAAAAGGCTTCAGAAGTCAACGTGCGAACCAGTGAGCTATATACCAAAAATCTACTCCACAGACATGGATCCGTCAAAATTCACTAATCCTTCTTTTGATTTATGCTTAGCTAAGCGCATACGTTCTTTCGCTCAACGACTTCTCACTATATAAACCGATCAATCAATCGCTCTAGTAACCCATTCTTTTCCATTCTTCATCTACAGACACTTGTACACTTTTTCTCTTTTGTTTTGCTTTCTGAGGATTTCGTATCGCTACAGAAATGGCAGCAAACTCAAAAGAAACAGAGCTCCCGGTGAAGGCCTTTGGATGGGCAGCGAGGGACACTTCCGGTCATCTTTCTCCTTTCAATTTCTCCAGAAGGTATATAAATGACAAACAATCTATATGTTCTGTAACGCACAGTGGTCAAATGTGTATTCATATAATTAATACTCTCTTATATTTGGGGGATTCGGATGTGAGTAGGGAAACAGGGGAGAAGGATGTGCAATTCAAGGTGGCATATTGCGGAATTTGCCATTCAGATCTTCACCAGCTCAAAAATGAATGGGGTTTCAGTTCATATCCTGTTGTTCCCGGGTAACATCAATTTAATTCTAATCACAGATTATCAGTCCTTCCTTAAAGTTTTCAAACAAACAATCAAAACGGGACATGTTTTTTCAATTACTGCAACGAAACCGCTTATAAATCGGGTGCAGACATGAGATCGTTGGTGTGGTGACAGAGGTAGGGAGCATAGTGGATAAATTTAAAGTCGGCGACAAAGTGGGTGTGGGATGTTTTGTCGGATCCTGCCGCAAGTGCGAAAGCTGTAAAAGTGATTTAGAAAATTATTGCCCTGGAGGTGTCCTAACCTACAATGCTACTGGAACCACCACATACGGTGGTTTCTCAGACATTATGGTGGCCGACGAGCACTTTGTGCTCCGGTGGCCGGAAAGTTTGCCGATGGAGGCGGCTCCTCTGCTCTGTGCTGGGATCACAACGTATAGCCCTTTGAGATACTTCGGGCTCGACAATCCGGGAATGCGCATAGGAGTTGTCGGGCTAGGCGGCCTTGGCCATATGGCTGTGAAGTTCGCTAAGGCTTTTGGATGCAAAGTTACTGTGATCAGCACATCTGGTAGTAAAAAGCAAGAGGCCATTGATCGTTTTGGGGCCGACTCATTCTTGATCAGCCGCAACTCAGAAGACATGCAGGTTTGCAAATTAAAATATACTCCCTCCGTTCCCAAAAATACTTCTCACTTTCCTTTTTGTGATGTTCCCAAAAATACTTCCCACTTTCCCATTTTGGATAATTTGTGTGTCTCACATTCATTTTACCTTTTTCTTACACAACCACAACCTTATAATTCTACTTTATTCCACTTTCTTAATAAGCGTGCCAAGTCAAACCGGGAAGAATTTTTAGGAACGGAGGGAGTACTTGGTATCTAGCTAGCTTCATCATATCCTGTCGAGTGGCGAAACCAGGACACGTGACTCGCAGGAGCACAGTTAACAAAGAAATGATATAATAGTCTAGAAAAAAAATCATAGGCATCACGAATATAACAATAAACAAAACTATAAAATTTAAATAAAACAACTACTTAAAGAGTACCTTAATTTTGATTAGAACCTGACGCGACAAATGAAGGACAATCATTGAGAGACGACAATCTTTGTCTTCGAGATGTCATACTCTGAACTCGGCTCATTACAACTTCATTCTCAATTTTGCAAGTAATCTTTTTATTATTTACTTTGTGCATAGGCGGCCGCAAACACATTAGATGGCATTATAGACACGGTTTCTGCCGTTCACCCTCTTGTGCCACTACTCTCTTTATTGAAAGTAAATGGAAAGCTTGTCTTGGTTGGAGCTCCAGAAAAAGCACTTGAATTGCCTGCCTTTCCTTTGATCATGGGTATGTATATCCTTGGAAAGTTTTCTATAATAGGAATAAACCATAACACATAATTATAATTTCTGTAAATATTAGGAGGCCCATATAATCATCTTTAAAGGGATGGATCACATACAGGTAGAAAACAGCTGAAATTCAGCCTATTCAGCTAAGTACCACCATTTTTTTTCACTTACTAATTTAATTTCAAATAGCATTATTAGGAATGTTTGTTATCATCGCTATTTATTAGGGATTAAAATATCCCGAATTAAATAACGACCGAGCGAAGCTCTGGTAATGACTTCACTGTCATCTAAATAAATGATTGGTTTTATTAGTAGGACCGTTTGCTTACCTCGATCGACTTTAATTAGTGGTCGGAGCAATCCTGAAGGTAATCCCGAAGACACATTTTTATTTTCGAGGCCACCAATGGGCCTGCTCGGCATTAGCGGTTCATTCATAAAACTATTAATGACTTGATTTATTCTGAATTTATTGTATAGAGGTAATAAAATATGCTGAATTTATTGTATAGAGGTAATAGGAACCTAGTTAAAAAATAGGCTGAATACGCTGAATTTATTGTGAATTTATTGTACAAAGGTAATAAAATAGGCTGAATTTATTGTACAGAGGCTGAATAGGCTGAATTTTTTGTACAGAGGTAACAGGTACAGAGGTAAAAAAAATGGTGGTACTTAGCTGAATAGGCTGAATTTATTGTACATAGGTAATAAAATAATTATAATTAATCAATGGGGTTGTTATTGGATTGAGTATTGACATCACACATATAGTTCTAAATTCTAATGGATGGATCACATACAGGTAGAAAACTAGTTGCGGGAAGTGGCGTTGGTGGAATGAAAGAGACACAAGAAATGCTAGACTTTTCTGCCGAGAATAACATAACACCGGATGTGGAGGTTGTCCCCATGGATTATGTCAACTCGGCAATGGAACGCCTCTCTAATAATCAAGTGAAATATAGATTTGTACTAGACATTGCCAAAACAATGAAATCTGCTTGAATAACTTCATATTAAGCGCCATGTCTTGGCCAAAATGATTTATCTACTTTACAATTTTCTAAAGTTTCAATGCTTTATGCGAGACGTTGTTATGTTTGTTTGTTTTAATATACGGAGTAATAAATATAATTTCATCTATGTGGCTTTTCGTCCTATTTTATTTTTGGCCTTTAACAATTGTTATCACACACGGGATGAGATCGGTATAAATCGTTACTGCATTAGTCCCAAAATGAATTTCATTAATTCCCATTTCGTTGATCCCAATATAAACTTCATTTTCTTTTTATGACAAAGAATGTGTGGTTCGCAATATTTATTTCTGTTCCGCACAATTCTTGGCCACTCAATTTTCACTTTTTAATCCTCATGTATGCAACACAGGTTGTGTTTGTATAAGATTTGGGCTAGTCGTCATTAATTTGAAGAAGATGCGACCTCAAATCTTATCGCAAATTATATCCTGGGATCGGCGCACCATGAGGATGGTGTGCCCGATCCCAGGATGACGGAGCATGATCTGGTTTTTTTTTTTTGCTTTTGTTGTTAAAAAATGGTAATAACTTTTTTATTTTTGATCCGATTTTTTAAAATTTATATCAACATTTTTTATTTTTCACGATCTTTCAAATGAGACCAATATTGCTTATGTAATTTTAACAAATTATGGAACTATTATATAAATGATTATTGGATTATAAGGAAAACCGAACTAAATTTAATACAAAAAAATTATTGTGTAAATCACAATTTATCTTAAAATTGTGTATATAAAAAATAATTGAGTTACATGTGAGTTACATATTTTTATATGTGAAGTTACATATTTTTACACGTAAGTTACATATTTCTACACGCGAGTTACATTTGTATCAACATCAAGTTACATTTTGATTAACATGATTTACATTTTCGATTTCCCTGAATTAACTTTTTAATTAACGCACCTTACAATTTCGAAATTTCTCAAGTTACATTTTGGATACACTCGAGTTACATATCAATTTGATAAAAGTTACATCTTGTAACACGCGATTTACATTTCGTATAAAAGGTGAGAGAACCACTAGAGGGTGTAATATGAGTTACATTCCAGGCAGCGAGTTACATTTGTAGTTAACTGAGATTACATTTTATAACAACACGAGTTACATTTCAATACATAGGATTTACATCACATAAAATATTGAGACAAAAATTAAATTACATATTTTTACACGCAAATGTTAATATGTTAAAATTACATAGGCAGTATTGGTCTCATTTGAAAGATCATGAAAAATAAAAAAATTTGATATAAATTTTATAAAAATCGGATCAAAAATAAAAAAATTATTAAAAATTTTAAGAAAAGGAGATATAAAAAATAACAATGGTGCATGGTGCTCACCATGCACCGGTTCCACGGTATAACTACTGAAATCTTATTATGCTAACTGTTTTCCTGTTTATGTGACCTAAAAGCGCAGTTATCTTCAAGATTTCATTTGAATGCCTTCCCGATTTAAGTTTTATCTGAAATTTGGTATGAGTAAACTAGACTTGATGAATAAGATGCTCAAAAAATTTCATCAAAAAATTCCACCGGGAACTGTCCCAAATGATAATAGCCGGACAGTAAAGACGTTATAAGGACTTATTTGACCCTTTTTATGCAGCTTCGAGGACCAAATTGACCCTTACCTCGTTGCTACTCAGATTCGAACAACTTCGCTATTCTATTTTCTTGTTCAATGAGGGGTTTTTCTGATATTTACCATATATTCGTAAGTTCATGAGTCCCACTATCTTACTTTAGAAATATATTACTTCTTTCCAAATAATTAAAAAATATAAAAAAATTACTTTAGGTTATTCAATTAAAAAATAAAATCCTAATTCAAATTTATAATAAAAAATATATTTCACAATACCTAATTAGAAAATAAAAAGTTAATTTACATTTATAATAAAAAACATAATTTGCATTATGAAATCAATTCTTTTAAATAACTCAAAACGAAATAAAATAAAATAAAAGTAAATTCAAGCTAGTCCACCTCAAGTTTTTATAAAGCATATTAATAATGTAAAATATCATATAAACTTTTCTTTATGAAAATTCTTTATAGCAGCTTAACTTGGCTTAAGCTCGGTTCAACTTGTCCTCGGTACCAATATTTATTCTAATATTAATTTATCAAGTTTTTTCTCTTAAATAAATTCTATATGATTTTTTTTCACACGAATAATATCCTATTTTAAATTGGGATGCGCTAAAACCTTCCATGACATTTAGTAATTATAACTTTTATTTAGATCTTTTTTTAATTATCTCAAACTTAGTACTTTATGATATTTTTTAATTATTTGAAAAAGAAGTTACACGTAGTATATTTCTAACGAAATGAGTAATACATAGATAAATGTATATACACTTGGAATATTATTTAAATATCATAAAAAACGTGGATCTAACAACCGCATGTTGCGGTGTATGTAGTAGTTTATTCCTGATTAGTTCTATCCTTCCTTGCATCCCATCCAGGTTCCACCTTGGTTGTTAAATTTTTTTTTTATCTTTTTGAAACATACTTAACCTCTTAAAATTGGATGACATGGAATTATTGGGATGATGTAGATAAGCTGATGTGGCGACCTGCTGAAATAATGGGATGACATGACAAAAAATATCATGATATGAGAAATAAGTTTGAAAGTACCCTGGTTTGGGAAATAAGTTTAGAATTACTCTAGTTTGGGAAATAAGTTTGAAAAATACTGTTTTTTGAGAAAAAAACTCTAAAAATTCCTCACTAAAAGTAAACTTTTTAGTTAGAGGATTTTGTACTCTCACAAAAGTCTACAAAAAGTACCATCAATGAAGGGATTTCCTACCCCTCACTAATTTTTGTAGTTAAATTTCTTGTAGGCCTTCAAACTTACATAAATATCAGTAATATTTAAGTCATAACCCTTTAATTTTGGAACATTCATAAATTTTTAAGAGGAAAGGGGTCAAGTAGGCCTTCAAACTTACATAAAAAGGTCAAATACGCCCTTATATAGGAGGCTCTGTCCGGCCGTCACCATTTGAGACAGTTCCCGGTGGAATTTTTTGATGAAATTTTTTGAGAATCTTATTCATTAAGTCTAGTTTACTCATACCAAATTTTCGCTAACAATACAATCGGGAAGGAAATGAATTCTTGAAGATAACTGCGCGGTTATCTTCAAGAATTCATTTGAATGTCTTCCCGATTGAAGTTTTAGCTGAAATTTGGTATGAGTAAACTAGACTTAATGAAAAATACTCAAAAATTTTCATAAAAAAAGTCCATCGGAAAACACCCCAAATGGTGATGGTGGGCTCTTATATAACGTATCCAAGTTGAGTGATCCTTCTTTTGGCTTATGGGCATAACTAAGCGCTTACGTTTGCCAATTGACTTTCCACCTCAGCGCATACGTCATCCGCTCAACGGCTTTTTTATATAACCGATCACAATCACTGGCTAACCCATTCCACTGCACTCTTGATCTACAAACGGTTATACTCTTTTATCTTTTGTTTTGCTTTCTGAAGATTTCGGCTCGCTATAGGAATGGCAGCAAATTCAAATGAAACAGAGCTTCCAGTAAAGGTGTTTGGCTGGGCAGCGAGGGATACCTCCGGTCTTCTTTCTCCTTTCAACTTTTCCCGGAGGTAGTTATATATGTCAAACAATAATTTATATGTTCTGTAACGTAAAGCCGTTACATTCGTATTTAAATATCTGAGTTTTTGAATGGTAGAGAAACAGGGGAGAAGGATGTGCAATTCAAGGTGATGTATTGTGGAATTTGCCATTCAGATCTTCACCAGCTCAAAAACGAATGGGGTTTCAGTTCATATCCCCTTGTTCCTGGGTAAGAAACAGGAAGCCATTGATCGTCTTCGCGCCGACTCATTCTTGATCAGCCGCAACCCAGAAGACATGAAGGTTTGTCTTCTCAATTAAGTTAACAAGATCTGTGATAAATTAATCTTCTTGATCTGTATTCTGTAAACAATCTTCTTATTATTTGCTTTATGTATAGGCGGGCGCAAACACATTAGATGGCATTATAGACACGGTTTCTGCAGTTCACCCTCTCGTGCCACTACTCTCTTTATTGAAAGGAGATGGGAAGCTTGTCTTGGTCGGAGTTCCAGAAAAACCACTTGAATTACCTGCCCTTCCTTTGATCGCACGTATGTATAGTATATCCTTTTTTTTAAGCACCCACGTATGTATATCCTTAGAAAGTTTGTTAAAATTGGAATAAAACTTAGCTCATAATTACAATAATATACAGGGGTAATAATATAATTATAATTAATAGATGGAGTTGTTATTGGATTGATTATTGATAGAATTAGTTCTCCTAATAGTGTGTTGGTGTCACTTTTAGCATTGGTTTTTATATTTGTCATTTTTAGTTTTTAGACTATAGTATTTTAGACCTTTTAGTTATCGACTTCAAAATTTTTCGCCTTTAGTACACACAGTAATGTCAAATTGACGTTTTTAGTTCTTCAACTATGTCTACCACAAGAAGCAGATGACTAAAAATGTCAGTATGATAATAGTTGAAGGAGTAAAAATGTAATTTCTAAAATGTGGGGGGACTAATTATGGAAAATCTAAAAAGGGAACACTAAAAACGTCACTCACATAATATTCGAAGGATCATTACCCTCATTACCCCAATGCCGCAAAGGCTCCCACACATTCGGTGGGGTAAGGGTAAAAGTAGAAAAATTCAAAGTCGAATAATAAAAGTGTTACTAAGATGATAGCCATAAGACTAAAAGTGGCAAAGACTCATTATGATATCACACTTGCCATTCTAATGGTTGGATCACATACAGGTAGAAAACTGATTGCGGGAAGTGCCGTTGGTGGAATGAAAGAGACGCAAGAAATGCTAGAATTTTCGGCTCAGAACAACATAACGCCAGATTTGGAGGTTGTCAGCATGGGTTATGTCAACACTGCAATGGAACGTCTCTCCAATAATCAAGTGAAATATAGATTTGTACTCGACATTGCCAACACAATGAAATCTGCTTAAATATCTTCATAAGCAGCATGTCTTGGCCCGAGTTATTTATTTATGTATATTTTTCTAAAATTTCAATGTTTTATGTGGGACGGTGTTCTGTTTGCTTGTTATAATATGGAGTATAATAAATATAATTTCATCACACACTCAATGGAATCGATATAAAATATTACTCTCTCGGTCACGAAATGAACTTTCGTTATTTCACTTTCTGTTCGTCACAATATAAACATATTTTTCCTTTTATTGATTCACAATATTTCTCTCTCCTCTACCCAGTTTTTGGTCACAAATGTTTTAATTTTTTATCCATGTTGCAAGTCAAAACCGGAGTTCTATATCGGAGAGAGTAGGGGTGGGCGCGGTCCGGAACGGTCCGGTAAATTGGTAAAACCCGTAATGTATCCGTAAGGTTTTTAACGGTCCGGTACGGTCCGGTTCCAAGGATAGAACCGTTCGGTACCATGTCGTTTCGGAACGGTACAAAACGGTACGGTACAATGCCAAACACATGCTAAAAAATTTGAAAAAAAATTGCAATTAGTAGATATCATCACACCAACCAACTCGCATGAAATTTTGATATAAATACAAGAAATTGCATACGTAGTACTAATATTCACAAATACACAAATAGTGCAACACAACGAAGAAAAAGTATAGCAAACGATGACGCACGAGTTGTTGAATATCATAGAAATTGTCAACGTTCTTCTTCTTCATTCTAGGTTAAATATTACCTGTAGTTCTAATTTTATTTATAGTTGATCCTTGAGAGCTAAGATTTAAACCATATAATTAAGTTGTAAAAATTGCACAAACATGATGCAACAAAAAGTCATGGACATTACATTACTAGAAATGAATAGTCATTAATGATTTCTAAAATTTTAATATTCTTTCAATATCACTAGTGTAGAAAATACTTTCTATATGGGTTAAAAAGCACTTTTTATGTCGGTTCCCGTAACGACATAGTAGCCAGCGATATAGAAAGTCGGGTTCTTTTCGTGTCGGGTAGTCGTTCCCCTTACAGAATGTTTTTTATAACGGTTACGAATTTAACCGTTATGGAATGTTTTTGGTGTCAGTCCAGTAATACCCCATATAAAATCCTTTTTATATGGGTTAAACCACCAACCGTTATAGAAAGTCGATTTTTTTATAAAAAAAAAATAATCGCATTTAAAGCCACTTATATATATATATGATTTTATATTTTAAAACGTTGATTTTAAATTATATCAACCACATACTATTAATCATACTTACTGAAATTACAATATTCCCACCTACATAGTATCGTACCATATCAACAATATTCAACCAAAATTACATACGATTTTAAAACATACTAGTAACATCCAATAAAATTACTATGAAATGCTTGTCACTGAAAAACAATGTCAAATCCTCTTGGGTCTTGTTGATACCATATTGCATAATTATTGAATATCTGCAGTATGAATAATCAAAGTAAGCATCCTTAAAATACATAAAAGCAAGCATAAGGAAAATATATGAAAGTACTACAATTACAAATATAAACACAAACAAAAAGTTATCACTAACTAGTATGAATCAACATAATAGCTGCAACTAAGGTAATAACTAGTAAAGTATTCGCACTAAAAACCTTCCATTTACCATTGAAAATCCAAATCAATATGACAATATGTAAGCCATTGCACTAATATAAAAGATATCAATACTTGCATAACTCCTACATAATAAATAAGTAGCAAATTGAGATTTGTTAAATATTAAAACCAGAGGGACTGGTTTTATTTATCCTCTTAACAAAACCAAAGGCTAACTCATTTTATTTATTAACACCAAAATCAGATGCCACAACATTCAAGTAAAAACCCCACCATTATTTATTAGCACCAAAATCAGATGCCACAACATTCAAGCACTAATTGTTCAATTGTCTGATTGTCTAATGATTAAGATTTAAAAGTATCCATTTGGCTTGTAAGTTTTGGATAGAAATAATTTAGCAGGGGACAACACAAATATGAGCCACTGATTTAGTGCCTCTTCTACATTTGAGTTAATTTTTTCCTGACCAAAAGAATAAAATATTTATAATTTACACTTCACATATGTCAAGTAATGTGTTTCCCATTTATCTTATATGAAGGTTATAAAGTCCTAACCACTCTATTTAGTGATGGAGAGATACTATCTCCTTTGAGAACTTCCAAATATTCCAATTACAAAATATGGACCACTAATTTAAAAGTATCCATTTAGCAGGAAACAACACAAATATGAACCACTGATTTAGTGCCTCTTCTACATTTGAGTTAGTTTTATACTGACCAGAAGAATAAAATATTTATAATTTACATTTCACATAAGTCAAGTAATGTGTTTCCAATTTATCTTATATGAAGGTTATAAAGTCCTAACCACTCTATTTAGTGATGGAGAGATACTATCTCCTTTGAGAACTTCCAAATATTCCAAATACAAAATACGGATGTCAAAAGTAGTTCATTTTATCTTTAATCTATGACTGAGGCAGTTTACGGTGCGGCCTCACACATTTATTTGATACAAATAGAACATTTCCTTTTCTTGCTAGAACTATATATCTAGTCTGGCGCTGGTTCAGTTGAATCCTATGATGGTATTACTGAACTAAAATTTAGATTACAAAAGCTTGGAATGAGTGAAAGTAGATCAATCATGATTTCAGAAGCATGTGCAATCAAATTAGTGGAAATATGAAGAGTCAAAACTACCTGCCCATTTCACTCAATCTTCCTGCTGCAGTGTATGAAGATTGGTCCTTAAAGATGATTGCAGACCCAATTCTAAAGATACCATGGGTTCTACCCAAAGCAAGATATTTATATGTTTGATGATCCCTCTCCTTGGAAAGAAAAAAAACTGGGAACACTGCAGATGTCTCTGGCTGATAGCAAAACTAGCTCAATGACTTCAGACTAGGTGACACTGCAACCTATGTATAGAGTGTGCATTAGCAAAGTATATCAAGAAGTCCATAAAGAACTTAAGGGAAATTTTATAACTAAGAAATGAAAGAACAACCATCTTTAGAAAAATCTCTACTCAATTGTAGAGCTGCGGAATGATTACCACAAATTGCAAGAGATCAAGACTCATCATTTAGAAAAACAGATTATGATAAAGTAAAAAATTATGATTAGAGAGCTAATTAAATTATACCTGCTATGAGTAACTACCTCTTTAGCTGCCTGCACATCATTAAGTTAAAACATTAAGAACTCTTGAATACAATGGTTGCCAAATAACCTAACTAAATGCTGAAATAAGATCCACTACTACAATCTAATTGCTTCAACAACTACTCAATGTTAATTAATACTAAATTAACTACACTTTTTCTTTGAATTCGTTGCCTGTACTAAATCACTTCTACTCATGACTTTTTCCAATGTTATAAAAGAAAACTATCAGTAATAAAGCACTTAAAGAAAATAAAAAAGACTATTACGCTTAACTCCAGGCACAATATATATAATAATATATTGTATAAATGCGATATAATAACAGTATAATACGCAAAATGATATATATGAGAATAGAATAAGAGAGGTGGTTTAAGAGGTTTTACCATTAAATTTGAAAAATGCATAGGTGGATGATCATTTCTGAATTCCTTTAGCACTTTGCACATATTGAATGGGATTGGTCGAACACTAAAGTGTCCCAGATCTGCATATAAGAACTTGGTTCCTGTGTTAATAATTTGACCATTAGAATGAGAAAGTTGTGAACTGTAACAAATCAATATACATATTCTGGTAAACATTATAAACAACAGCTGCAGTCAAAATGAAACTTCTAAACTAAAACTAATTAACTAGAACTTATCATATTTTCTCTGAAATTTCAAGGAAATAAACAACCCGTAAATGGAAATGCATACAATAGTTGCAGCCTAAGTGAAAAAATATTCAGAATATTGTTAATTGAAAAATTTGAGAATTTACCTAACGTGGAAGAGGGCTGATTGCGGGTTATGGAGAACAGTAATCCGTGCGTCCTCTTCTCCGATTGAGGCAGGGCAGTGCACGAGTGTTAACGGAGAACAACATTCCATCGTCTTCTTCTGTTAAACTGGACAGCAGCAGTCGCCGTCTTCATCGAAGTCGCCGGGAGTGGCGGCGGCGGCGTCTTCGTCGATTGACCTGGAGCAGCAACGGTCGTCGTCTTCATCGATGTCAACGGGAGTAGCAGCGGCGTCTTCTTCTTCTTTTGCTGACCCGGAGAAGTAGCGGCCGTCGCCTTGGTCGAAGTCGCTGGGAGAAACAGCTGGATCTTCTTTCTTTGTCGCTTAGGCAAAGGGATAAGTTTGCCCTAGTCCTGCAGTTTTGGAATTAAATAATTAATGGCCACTTTCTATAAGGGTAAAAAATGAACTGACATTGAACATCATTTTTGAAAATCATAAAAGAGCCCCCATTTTGAAATTATGTTTGCGGAAATTGTAAAAAAGACCCCGTTTCAGTTTACTATCTCGGTTGTATTTCTAACCGTTATAAAAAACATTTTTATATTTATAATACTCACCCGCCTAACTTACTCAAATTTTCATTATTTATAAAGATGACCCTGTGCCTACATATTACAACGGTCTTAAGTGAACCCATATTAAAACCTAGTTATAGAATGTATATTTTGCACTAGTGTATATACCGAAGTATAACATAAATTATCTAAAAAGAAAAAATAACAATATATATAAACACACACATGTATACATATTTGGGCTATAAAATTGTTGGTCTATAAAAGAGATCTATTGCTATAGAAAAAATATAAAAAATTCAAATGCATTATTTTCGAACGGTTCGGTCCGGTATTTTTCGGTTCCCAAAATCTAGGATCGGTCCCGTACCCGTTTCAAACGGTACGGTTTCGGTACGTGATACAAATCTATAGAACCGTTTAAATACCCGATATTCGGTTCGGTACCATTACGGGACGGTTCGGTACCCCTAGGAGAGAGGGAGTATATCTTTTCACAAGCAAGCCGAACGAGTATTAAAACCCTAATTTTTTTTGGGCCTGCTCCACCCTCTCTCTTACCATTAGAGTTTCCATAAAAAATATGATCTATGGATGATATAGACACCATATCCGTGACAACCGGTCTGT